CTGCTATTTGTGAATCTATTTATCTAATTTTTTCTAAATGTTGATTATTTTGTATCCCTTATTAAATCTTTTCTTTTTCAGCTTTTAGACTATTGATTTAAAGTTCAAATTCATTAATTTTAGATTTAGTTTTAGGTAAATTTTGTTGAACTCTATGCTTTAAGAGTTCAAAACAACTTTAATCTGTAGGTTTAAGACATAATAAACATTTTCCAGATTGTTTGGAACTTGTAATCTTAATAATTATTTATATATACATATTGATCAATAAATTCTGTTTGATTGAATATATATTTAATTTTATTTTCTTTTACTTCTCTAAGTTATCTTTTTAAATTATCCAATTCATATGGATCATATTTAATAGCTTTATTAATTGATAATAAATTTTTTAATTCTTCTTTTTATTCATTTAATATTTTAATTTATGCTTAATCTTTAGCCATTTAAGTTTTAATTAATTATATTTTTTATTTAATTGATTCTTCACATCTTGAAATTGAAATATCTCTTTCTAATTTTGAACCATTTAATTTAATCATAGCTCTCCATCCATTTTCTCTAATTAATAAATCAATTTATGAAGATTTTGTAGATATATTTACTTCTAATTCTTATATTTTCTTAATTATATCTTAATAAGAATTAATTTATTAATTTTTTTATGTTATATCATAACATTCTATAAGATCTTAATTAATTTATTCAAATTCTAATTTTAATTTTTATTTTTCTTTTATTTAAATTTCTTATTATTCAGCCTATTTTTTTTGAAAAAATAATTATTATAATAGAACTTCTTTATTTTTAATATCTTTTGAAATTTAATCTTTTAATTTAAGCTATTCATTTCTTTGATTTTCATTTATCCTTACTTCAATTAAACATTTCTATTTCTTATCATTTAAATTAGAAATCTTAGTTTAAAATGTCTATTATAAATCTTATTAAGTCTATTATTCTTATTATTATTCATATTTATTTTAATTTATTTTTTCTTTTACTTATTTTAATAAATTTTCATCAGAAACATTATTAGAAAACATGAATATAGATTTAATAGAATCTCTTATTAATTTAATTTCTTATTTTTATGTTTCTATTGTAGTATCAATTTATAGTTCTTATAATTCTAATTTTTTATTTTCTAAATTAATTTCAGTTGATTTGAGATTTGCTTATGTATTTCTTAATTCAATTTCTAATTATTTAAGACTTGAAATAACAAAATCTTATTATGATAATTAATTCAAATCTACATGATCTAATTACAATTATAATTTATTTTCTTAAATAGAATTTCTACAAGCAATTAAATCAGCACATTCACTCATTCTTTATTATATAATATTGAAATTAATATTTGATATCTATATTTGATTCATTTATGAATTAATATCTTATATTATTTTAATTTCCTATATTTTTTCTTCTAATTAATTTTATAGGTTTGTTCTTTAACGTTAACCATCATCCATGTCTCTCTTTGAAAATTCTACTTTTTCCATTAATATTTTAGCCTTACTTTCAGCATCTTTAAGTTATTCTCTCAATCTAATTTCAATGTTAACCAAATCTGTAGTTTCAAAAAGTTCATCAAATATTCCCTTTAATGTTGAATTGTCACTAAACATCCATAATTATTCTTCTTGATGACATAAAAGAACATTATTCAAAATAGGAACTGATACTCCTAAAAAACAAGGAATTTATTTTTCTATATTTGCACAAGAAGAATGTAATGTTTCTAATTTATCAGTCTCTAATGATCTAGTTTATAATGTAGATCTAAGTGAAGAGAATTTACAAGAATTAGGAGAATCATATACAATACTAAAATGTCTACGTGCAACAATCTCACGATTATTTATGGACTTAAAACCAAGTTCAATACATGCATCTGTTTTACTTTATCCTAGTAAATGACTATCAGTTAAGAAACTTCTGCCTCTAATTGAATAAATAATATTGTATACTTTTCAGAATTAGGTGGTTACATACCTGTTGTGATTGTTCGTAATGCTTCAATAATTGTCTATTTTCATTATAAATATAGTACTGTCTTTCCACTACCATTATGACCCCATATAAGTGTCAGAGGTTGTTTAAAATATATAGATTAAGACTATTAAGCTGCTTTTCTATTGTCTTCTTTAACTTGGCCTACATGACAATAACTTCTAATTCCATCTAATTTCAAGTGAAGTAGAGATGACATTTTTAAAAATTAATTTATAAAATTACGCGGAAAATGAAAAAGCAAATACTAGAGTCAGGATAAAAGGTCATTACTATTGATGATACTATTAACTCAAAATAGCCAACACCTGTATAACCAATTGTTTAGCAATTATCTGCCTATTAATTATTTATGAAGGATAAAAAGGAAGAGGGAAAGTATTCACTTCAAGTTCTTAGTTAAATGTGGAAGGATTTACCTAAAGATTATAAAGAATAGTAATATATATTATATATTCAAGAGATATTAAGAAAGAGCCAGATAATTGAAAGAATAGGTTTAACAAAATTAATTAACAACTCCTTAAAGTAAGTCTCTTCTATTTATAAATTGAAAGCATTCTTTCCATTATCTAGATTGAAAACAATTCTAAAAGAGGATGAATAGAAACCATAATTCAAACCAGAAGCTTATTAATATATGTTGAAAGCTATTGAAGAATTTGGTGAACTATTGTTAAATAAAGTAAAGGATTAAATTAAATAAGATTAAAGAAAAACAATAAAAGAAGATGATTTAAGTAATCATAATTAATTAATACTCTAGTAAATTTAATTAAAGAAAATCAAGAATTATAATTTCTAAGTTGTTTAGCCATTCATCATTAAAAAAAGAAAACAAGTTAAACTCAAAATTAGTAAGGTAAATCAAAAACTTCAGGAGCCTTAGACAAATTTCTAGAAAATAATAATGGGATATGAATATTCAAATACCAATTTCATCTAATTTTTAATTAATATTTTAATATAAAAGTATATTAATTATCAACTACACTAATAAATATCAATAATAATCATTTTATTTATTTTTTTAAACATATTAACTTTTTATACTAAAGTTATTTATAATATACTTATATTGAAACCTTATTTATATTCACTAAATAATTTTCCTATATTCATTTTATTGTAATATTAACTTCATATATGAAGATTTTAATAAAAGCAATGATTTCTTTTAAAGTTTATTATTATCATAGTCATCTTATAACCTTATAATTTAAATATATTCATTAATTAATAATAAAATTATAATATACAAATAATACCATTTATCATATAAGTTAAAATTTTACTTAGTATTTCTTTTACAATATATTTGTTAATTCTTTTGATGTACAATTTCTTTTCTCAGTCATACAAGTTATTTGATTATATATTCCAAATGTACAAGGTCTATTAATTGCTATAATTTTATTACTCCATAATTATTTATAAATCTTTGTTATTTATCTCAATTTCTTTTACAAAAACAGAGAGCAATCCATTATTAAGATGTTCTTCAGTTATTTCTAAATTTAATTCTGAAAATGTTGGAAAACTAAAACTAATTTATGTTCCTTTCTTAAATTCTTTATAATCAAAATCTTCTGGTTTAAGATCAAATGTTGTAATTAAATATTCATCTATAATTTGTTTTACATGCTTAGATCCTAATTAGGTTAGAAATTCATTAAATTCTTTAAAGGTTGGAGAATACAATTTTATAGTTTTTTATGACACTTTTTCTTTAATAATAAATTAAATTGGTAGAAAATCTACACATAAATAATTTTTCTCATCCTTTTAAGCAACACATTTAATCATTCTCTTATTTAAAATCTTTTCTGGAAATTCACTTTTTTCTTTATTTATTATTATTCTTACTTTCACTTATTATTATTGCAACATCTGGTATTGTTGGTTTAGTGACTAACACTTTTTATTAAGATTCTATTTTATTTGCCAATTAGATTTAATCAGAATTATGCATTTAAGGTTTCATTTTCTCTTCTATTTTTTATTCTACTTTAGCTTTATATTCTATTTATTACAATAATTTTTATTTAAGAATTGTAAAATCAACATTAATTTCTGAAACTATCTCAGCTATCTAAAAGAAATTATTATTAACCAATTCATATAGTTTCATTGGTGACAATTATATAGTTTATACATATTAATATTCTTAAAAATAGATTTCGATTTTTGGAAAATTAATTTTAAAATATCCTTGTCCAGATTGATTAGAAATAATTAAATAAGATGCTGGAAATTCTTCATTTTTAAATTTATTAACTTTAGTTTTTAACTGATGTAATCCTTTCTATTTTAAAGTAACAGTATTCAATTCTAATAGTTATAAATGTTTCATAAAAAATTCAATAAAATCCTAATGAGTATTTAGTATTTGTAAAGCTGTAAAGAAATTTAATATAAGACTCTTTGATAATTTTCTATTAACTTAGTCATCTTTCTCTTTAATCCAATCAATTTCAAAAGATTTTATTAATGCCAAAACAGGCATTTAATTATATTTGTATATTTTCTTATAAAACAATCTTTCATCTTTTTTTATTTCTTCTACATCTTCTCCATCAGTCAGATCAGCTACTATATTTTTATCAACTGACTATAATTTGGTACCTAAATGTCCAAATTTTTATGATAGATGATAACTAGATAATCCCTAAAAGCCTCTATCACAACTTGTTCCAAAGTTTCTAGTATTGTAATCAAAACTATACATAAATCCTTTATTTTATATATTTAAATTATACGTTAAACTCCAATTTGCTTAGAATTACCTTACAACATTGATTTTCTTTCTATATGAGGCAAGATCTTTGATTCGTTTCTAAAGTTATTATAAATATTTAGATACTAAGAATGACGCTATTAGGTGTTTCTAATATGTATAGGATCTAACAGTTTTTGTTAATTAGTAATCAGTTTAGGTAATATGTCAATTTAAGTACTATGATTATTCATTATTTATATAAATGTAAATTGAAGTTGAGAAAGGTTATAATATTTATTGGCCACCTAAATATGATCTATGTTGTATGGGTTCATCGTGTCCCATAATATACGAGTCAAAATTTGGTTAGGAGTTCTATGAATCGTAAATTAATTGCAATCTTAAATTATGTCCTTTATGTAGGTTTATTGAAGTATGCATTAATTTAATTAGAAAAAATGTACAGTTCCAAATTGTTAAATTAGTATAGAAAAACATTTTCTTAAAACTAATTTTAATATATAAACAAAAAAAGTCTTTTTTGATCTTGATAAAGATGTCTAAGAATAATTAACAATAAGAAAGAAAATTGAAGAGAAATATCATCGACAAATCTCTGATATCAAATAAAGTTCTAAAACTACAGAGAGATTAGATTAATTATCTGAATTGATTGAAGATTCAGTTTATGCTGAGAGAACCAATAATACAAGATTAATGCTTGAAATTGATACTAAACTCCAAAAATTATGGAGAGAAATAGAAATTGAAGAATCTAATGATTAACATAGAGAAATACCAAGATAAATTCCAACCTAAAGATATTTTAATTCTTCTGAAACAAACTAAAATTCAATTGGCTAATAGAATAGTTATGCTAAAGAAGCTGGATTTAATGAAAAATAATTCCATATAAATAGAATTAAATGGGGTTTTTGATAATATTTTTAATGTCCCATTTTTATTTGGCAATTTATATAAATTTATTAAATTGAATATATTAAAAACTAAAACATCAAATTTTAACAATAACTTTATAAATCAAATGATGTTGTAGATTAAGATTATTTCATTTTAAAAGATCTATATATTTTGGAATAATCAACATTGTATTATATATATTTCAGAATCTTAAAAAATACTCTATAAATGGTATCAAAATGGGTGTATTTTCACTATAATCTTAATATGCATGACCAAAGAATTAATAAAGGTAATATTCCTCTAAATAAATTCTCTAAATAAAAAATTTATATAAGACAGGAATATAAGCAATAAAGGAAATAGGATTCTACAATATTATTTATTATCCCAGAGAATATATGAAAAAGCCAAAATAACTAGGGTGTCTACTGAATCTATGAAATAACAATATGTTAATACTTATAAATTCCTGTTGTAATCAAGATATGGTCAGATGCTTTTTTACTTTAAACTTAATGATGAAAACTTTGTTTTGCTGATATAAAAGCACCTATTCTAAATATATGTCCAACCAATGTACATAATACACCAATTAAAATCAATGTTTAATAATTCTTATTGAAAAAATAGGATTCTGCAAAATATTCAGATATTGAGAATGATATTGCTAAATTATATCCAAAACTATGATTGATTAAATAACCTAATTATTAAAATATATACTTCCCCATTTTAATAAATTGAATTTATAGAATGCCACATGCAACATCTCACCCATATGAAATAAGACTTAATTCATTAAAAAAATGCTGAATCCTACATGATTCTCTCTGATAATCCAAGCAAAGTAGATAAGAAATCCAAATACAACACAAGTTGCATTAATTTTTGAAATTTCAATTCCTAATTTTGGGTAACGTTTAGGGCTTAATTTCCAAGTAAAATAAATTAATGATCCAATAATAGAAATCTAAATAAGTACGGTATCAAAGAGAAGTAATAAAGAAAGTGTGAGCGCTATGATTATCCATTATATTAAATATAATTCTTTATTTATTAACATTATTATTATTAAATTAGGAACGAGAATATATATTTATCATTTAATATGAAAGTGAAATTTTAATTAAGGAAAATAAGAAGATTAATTTTTAAGAGGTTTGTAGACCATTATATCTCTACACATTTCTGATAATTTGATTTATCTATTAGAATATGTACTAAAATCTTGAATAAGAATTTCATTTCGAGACTTTTTGGCATTTTTACTATTCAAAGGTTCTATGTAATTGGAATAATTTCTTAATCTATTAGTTTTTTATGAAATTTATCTTGGTTTATTTTATTTTTAATTTATTTATTAGAAGTATTGTTCCATTAGAGATTTAAAAGAATGTTTTTATTGAAAGCTTTAAGGAAATTAAGCAAATCTATCAATACTACATATGGAGACTTCTTAATCCTTTTTTTTTGATTATATTGATTGGCTAACCTTCTTATTCCTTAATTAATTAAAGGATCTTAATTTTCTTGGTTGGATTGGGATGACAATATCATATTGTTTTAAAGGATCTTTATCTTCTTATTNTTCCTCTAAATAAATTCTCTAAATAAAAAATTTATATAAGACAGGAATATAAGCAATAAAGGAAATAGGATTCTACAATATTATTTATTATCCCAGAGAATATATGAAAAAGCCAAAATAACTAGGGTGTCTACTGAATCTATGAAATAACAATATGTTAATACTTATAAATTCCTGTTGTAATCAAGATATGGTCAGATGCTTTTTTACTTTAAACTTAATGATGAAAACTTTGTTTTGCTGATATAAAAGCACCTATTCTAAATATATGTCCAACCAATGTACATAATACACCAATTAAAATCAATGTTTAATAATTCTTATTGAAAAAATAGGATTCTGCAAAATATTCAGATATTGAGAATGATATTGCTAAATTATATCCAAAACTATGATTGATTAAATAACCTAATTATTAAAATATATACTTCCCCATTTTAATAAATTGAATTTATAGAATGCCACATGCAACATCTCACCCATATGAAATAAGACTTAATTCATTAAAAAAATGCTGAATCCTACATGATTCTCTCTGATAATCCAAGCAAAGTAGATAAGAAATCCAAATACAACACAAGTTGCATTAATTTTTGAAATTTCAATTCCTAATTTTGGGTAACGTTTAGGGCTTAATTTCCAAGTAAAATAAATTAATGATCCAATAATAGAAATCTAAATAAGTACGGTATCAAAGAGAAGTAATAAAGAAAGTGTGAGCGCTATGATTATCCATTATATTAAATATAATTCTTTATTTATTAACATTATTATTATTAAATTAGGAACGAGAATATATATTTATCATTTAATATGAAAGTGAAATTTTAATTAAGGAAAATAAGAAGATTAATTTTTAAGAGGTTTGTAGACCATTATATCTCTACACATTTCTGATAATTTGATTTATCTATTAGAATATGTACTAAAATCTTGAATAAGAATTTCATTTCGAGACTTTTTGGCATTTTTACTATTCAAAGGTTCTATGTAATTGGAATAATTTCTTAATCTATTAGTTTTTTATGAAATTTATCTTGGTTTATTTTATTTTTAATTTATTTATTAGAAGTATTGTTCCATTAGAGATTTAAAAGAATGTTTTTATTGAAAGCTTTAAGGAAATTAAGCAAATCTATCAATACTACATATGGAGACTTCTTAATCCTTTTTTTTTGATTATATTGATTGGCTAACCTTCTTATTCCTTAATTAATTAAAGGATCTTAATTTTCTTGGTTGGATTGGGATGACAATATCATATTGTTTTAAAGGATCTTTATCTTCTTATTATTGAAATTAAGTAACTACACTTAAATCTAGTTTATTCATAGAATCTTAAATAATAAAAAATATATAATATGTGCTATTTTCATTTTTATAATCAATTTAATTATTTTTGGAAGAAAAACTCATTATTTAAGGTTGAGTTCTTGATCAAGCATTTGAATGGTTATAATCTACATTATATATAAATATACATATTATTTAATTTATTATTCTTAACTCTATATAATTTTACTAGTTTATTCTTCAACCAATAGTCTATTTTTCTTTTCTTCATTTAATTGTTTTTATAATTAGATAACAGATTCACAATGTAAAGATGGTTTATAAAAATTTTAAGAAGAATTCAATTATAAAGAAAGTGCTTTAATTAGTTTTTCACAATTTTGATTTAATTGTTTTTACCATGAAAGCAATAAAAATGAATTAATTTAACTACATTTTTTTTTATTAATTTATTCTCCTATTAACTTGAGATTCTTTTAAACTTTTTAGATTACATCCTCTTCATTATTTCTTAATCTAATACTGACATCTCCTTATTCAACATTAGTCTCATCTTATTTATTTTAATCATACTGAATATTATCTAGATTGCAATTGCTATTAACTCTTGAAAGTTAAGAAAGGCTATTATAATTAAATTTATTAGAAAAAGATCCAGATTTTGGAGGAGAAATAGGAGTTGGAGTTCTAAATTCACACGTGGTCCTTGATATATTTTATTATTGTTAATTTCCTTTGATTTTATTAGAAATCAATTGAGATATGACAGAATGTTAATTTGAAAACATTCCAGCAGATAATTTAGGTGAATTAAGTATGTATTTCTATTTTTTATGTTTATCTGAGTTTTTTTAATGTAACATAAAATAAATATTTAATAATTTTTATTAAATGTTTATATTGAGTATTAAATAATTGCAAGCTTAAAATATCAATGAATTTATAATACAAAAATAAATTTATAGTTATTGTAGTTTTGCATATATAAAAATTTAATTTTAATGAAAAATATTATTAATATTTAATTCAGATTATATAATTTATGTTATTGAGTATTTCTAATATAACTTATTAAATGAATATAAATATAATTATTATTTAACATCACAAAATTAAAAATACTGTAATATTTTATATTTACTCTTATTTAAAATAATATATGAATTCTAAACTGAATTCTAATATTGTACAATCTTAAAAATAATTTTAAATTAATACATTTCATTTATTTATTTGATATTATAAATGATATTAGAATTTAAGTTGAATATAGTTTTAAAATGAATTTATCTATAATATTATTTTATTCAAAAATGTTATATGTAATACTCCTTTTAATTTCAATTTTAAAAGCATAAGATGAAGATGAAATAGAATATGATGTTGTTGAAACATTATAAAGTGCTTGTAGATGTAGTTAGATTTTAAGTGAAGTTGATTGTCAATAATTTTGTTTTTGGAAAGCTGATTCTGATGGTAAAACAGGAAAATGTAGAGATAAATTATGTAGTGATTATTTAGATAAAAATTCATGCAATAGTGATTAAAAGAATTTATGTTATTTTAATTCAGAAGAAAATCTATGTAAAAATTTAAGAGGAGATTGTACTAGTTTAGACTTATAAGAAGAATGTGAAACTAAATAAAATTGTTAATGGTTAAATTAGCCAGATGAAGATGGTGTTTAATGTTAAATTTTGGAATAACCAGAAGAAGAAATTCCTGTTATATGCAATAATATTAAATAATAAGAAATTTGTGATTCAAGTCAAGAAGATAATAGTGGTTATTATTGTTCATGGCTATTAAATCCTATTGATGAAGGAGAAGTTTAAACCAATTAAACCAATAATGAATCAACTACAAGATTGTTAAAAGTAGATAACACTGGATATTGTTCAAGATTCTCTGTTACTAAATGTACAGATATCAATGATATTGATGCTGATGATTCAATCAAAGAAATGCTTTGTAATAGATTTCTAGATACTTGTAGATACACAATTCAAACATCTAATGGTATAACTGTTACTGGAACTAATTTCAATCTTGTTAGCTATTCTTGTGAATAAAGAGCTTGCAAAGATTATGGAACATAATAATTATGTGAAGATAATTATATTGTTCCTGATTTTGAAGGTTATCTTCATTTATGTAATTGGACATCTACTTCTTGTAATGAAGGTTTAATAATTGAAAAATTCTCTCTTTTAAACAGTCCAGATAAATGCTATAAGGAAGAAACTCTTTATTAATTGACATGGAATTAGCAAATCAATAAATGCACTAAATGTCCAGGTTTAGGATATATATTGAGTCTACTATTCAGTCTTTATGTTATAATCATATGATAATTATTATATATTTATAAATAGATATTAATATATTATAAAAAAGAACAATTTACAAAATTCTATTATAAATTTTAGACAAAAAAGTATTAAAATTATATTCAATTCTGACCATGTTTTATTAAACTACCATCTGTAAATATTTATTCAATTATATTTTTTAAATAAGATAAATTTCCATTCGAATTAATAATAATAATCTAGATTAATCCTAAACAATCTCTAATTGCTGCACAAACAATTTTATTTTTAAATTTACTAAATTAAGATTCTAATCCCAACTTCAAAATTTCTTTTTAAAATTCTTTATTAATCATTCCATTAACTTTTTTACTATTATTAGTAAATATAAAACCCATTTTCTTAGAAATTTCAATAATATATTATACAAATTATTCTAAACTATTAAAATTATTTTTATAAAGATTGTTTAAGACTAGTGTAAAATTCTTTTAATTATGAATTATCTTAATATTTTCTTAATTATTCATAAAATCGAATATTATTTAAAAAATATTTGGAATTTTAGGAAATTTTGTGTTTAACCTTTTCTCTAATATATCTCTAATCTAATCATATATTTCCTCTTTATTTTAATTATCAATATTAATGCCTTCCTAAAGAAATGAAATAAAGATATATGAAAACACTTATATGTATTCTTTAGTATAACATGATTATGTATGTAAACTTTCTAAAACATCTATACAGTCATCGAAATCTGGATGTTTTTTAAGAACATATTCTAAATGTTGAATTGCTTCATTATCAGCCTATAACATTTACAAAGCAATCGAATATTTTATGTGATATTTCTCAATATTATCATTTAAAGTGCAAGCCTTATAAAACATATCAGCAGCTTCTATGAAATTTTATTAAATATAAAGTATCTATCCTAGTTCAAAATATAATTCTGATTATTAATTATCCAACTTAATTCCTTAATATAAGTCTTACATGGCTTCAGTAAAATTTTACAATTAAAAGTTTATTTTCGCTAATAATTTAAATTATAAATTACATCTTTTGAGATAATATTCACAATTTTTATTATTCAATGTTATAACTTCATCATACAGTATTTTTGCATTAACATAATCTTATAATAATTCACACATGTAAGCTTTTTCAATATAATATATGGGTATCTTTCCATTTTCATATATCAATTGATTATACAATTTATTTGCTTAATCATAATTTTTATTATCTCTATATAAGTTAGCAATTTTAAGTTTTAATTCATAATTATTAGAATCTACCTCTATAGCTTCTTCAAAATTCTGTTTAGCAGTTAGATTTTAATGCAATTTTAAATGGCAAAATCCTATTATTCATTTAAATTAATACCTTTTTCATATAATAATATAGATTTCTCTTTATGGTCTAAAATATATTTAAAAATTGATTCATAGCATTATATTGCCTAATTGAACTTTTTTAACATACTTAAACAATATCCTAAAATTTTAAATAATAATTACCTTTATGCTTTATTGCCATAAAGTTACTTTAATCATGAACAATTACTTTGTTAAAGTCATCTAAGGCAGATAAATAATTTTATTATTGCATAAAAGCTATTCCTCTAAAATAATATGTTGAATAATCAGTTTGATCAATTGTTATTAATTAATCACAATATTCTTTTAATTATGTATATTATTATAGAGTGCTTTAAATTCTTATTATCATTTTAAAAGTTCTAATTTCTTTTGGGTATTCATTAAGGATCTTCTAAAAATATTCTAAAGATTGGTTTAACTAATTTAAATTAAATAGACTCATTCCTATTCCAAATAAACCTTCAAAGTTTTTAGAATCAATTGTCAATACTTCTTTACATAGATTAATTGACTTATCAAATAACTTCTAAGAATAATAAGCTTAGCCTAAAAATAAATTATTTATATTTATTACTTTTGCAATTTAATAAAACAATCTTAATTTATGGATTTTATTATTCTAATTGTTTATCACAAAACTCAAGCAAATTTTCATAATTTTTTTAGATCATGAATAAATTACATATAGATTAAATTGCTTCAAGATATATTTGATCTTATTCTAATGCTTGTTAATATAGCTCTAAAGCTTAGTCGTATTTTTATTATTTTACTTTTAAATGGCCTAAATTTTAAGAAATAAAATACCATAATTTAATAATGCCCCTTTATCATTTTATTTAATTTATAAGGCTGTTTCATAATAAAATTGTGCTTTCTCAAAATTGTTTAAAATTGTTAATACAAAAGCCATTCCAAAATATCCTTCAAATGATCTTTCATTCATTTCAACTAACTTATTAAATACATTTAGAGCATCTTAGTACTTTTTATTCAATATGTATATATTCCCTAAAATATAAAATATTTTTTACCAATTTCAGCAATTGCTTTTGAATGTTTTTTATCAAGTTAAGTTGCCTTTTGACAAAAATATAAAGCTTATTGTAAATTGTTTAATCCAAGATAAGCTAAACCTAAAATCCATTATAACAGTTAGAACCTTTCAAGTATTATGCATCTGCTATATTTGGAGATCTAACTAATATATGGTCAATTAACTTTATGGCATGTTCATATTGTTAACTTTTTAAAAGATTAAATGCTTTTATAGAATATATTAGTATTACCTTTAACTAATTGAGAATTATAATCTAATATCTGAATTTAAGTAGGACTTGCTAATTTATCAAAATCTAGAATTAGAAACTATTAGTATACTTGTTAAAGAAGATTTACAATTTACATTGAAACTACTGTTACTTTGATCATTTTTTGTTAAACCTTTGCCCATTAATATAATTTTTGATTTTTGTATCGATTAAATCATTTCACAATAAAACCTAAAAAACGTAAAATAGTTCATTCTTTTTACTTCATTAATATAATTTAATAAAAAGATTCTCATATTACTTTCTAATTCATTATCACCTCATTTGCAATTTTTAAACTTAATTTTAGATTTAATATTCAGGATCATTATATTCATTTTATTTTGTATAGAAAGATGTTTTTTTAAATAGTTTCCATAAAATTTTAGCTAAAACATAAAGTTGATCTAAATATTGTTTAAATAGGATATTTTATGATCATTTAACTCTTATACTAATTCTAATGAATATATCCTATGAAAATCTAAAAGATATTCCAAATAATCAATTAATCTTCAATCATAATAAAGATAATGGATAGATCAACATTAACTATTGTTATTATTTGAATGTTTAAGTATAATAAGAAAATTTTGAAATTTAAATTGAGTTTAATAAGAAATTAGAACAATTAAATGAAATTTTTATAACCTTTATTATATACTAGAATACTTAATTTTCATCAAAATACCTTTAAGTAAAGGTCGAAGTCAGTTTATATGTATATATAACATCTTATAAATATTTATTTTTAAAACTTTATATAACAAAACCATTTTTAACATTATTATTTAGATTGTTTTACAATTTTTATATTGAATTTCTTTATTTTAATATGCTAAATCTATTGAAATGAAGATAAAATTATTACATTTAGATATGATTTATTGAAAAAAAAGATTGAATTTTAGATTCTCTATAAATCTGAATTAATTAGTTTGTTATCATTTTTATTAGATAAAATTATAGAAGTTAGCATTCATAGGTTAATGATATATTTAAATATAATGTTCATTACTACTACTATTGATTTCTTGGATGATTCATATGTATTTTTAGATCAGACCTGCAACTTGGACAATTCTTGTTAATATATATCCAAGCGAGTATGCATTCTTTATGGAATAAATGTCTAATTATATATTGATTTAATACTTGCATTTAGTAGATCTGAGATCTGGTTTACTAGTATAAAGATCAAGGCAAATTGGACATATATCTGTGTTCTTTATTTGATCATTTTAAATTTAAGGTAGTTGTTGTAAAATTTCATCATCGAAACTTTTTGCACAGAATTTTTTTTCATGTTGCATCTATCTTATCATAGCTAAAGCATATATAGCTTCTTTAATTTTCTTATTTCTAAAGTATTTGCCAATTGCAAATGAAATACTTAGTATCATTATTATACCAGCAATAGAAGCAACTATGATTATTACTGTAGTAGTTGAGATTGTATTTTATGTTTTTTAATTAATAAGATCCAAAGAAATATGAATATTTTATTCTACTAAAGACTTCTATTTGCATATAAACCTTACTCTTTTTTGAACAAGAGTACTATTATCATTTTTGTCTTTTAATTCAAATTCTATTGGATATGAGGATGTTACTTCATTGCCTTCAACTAAGAGATGATAATATTTTCTATTCAAATCTTCTAATGCAGGTATGTAAAGAACTCTAGTCTTCATTATATACAAATCTACTCCTTCAGAACTGTTAGTCTAAATTTTATTATTTCAAATACTTTAACTATTAAACTCATGGATTCATTTTCATTTTCTTCAAAATCTACATAAGCATATTTAACAGTGTTTTCTAGACTAAAGATTAGTTCTTTGTTTTATTCAATATAAATTGCTTTTTAATGACAATCATTCCCTATGTAATATTTATTACATAAACATTTTCCATCCTAAAAATTAAATATAGATCATACTTAGCAACTGCCTTAGTTGTTGCAGTTATTTGGACATATTTTATCATTAGTGGCAGTAACTGTAATATTGTAATTTTAAGTCCATTCTGATTAAGTAGATATATAAATTTATTGAGAATGAAAATCTTTACTTGATAACAAGATGAAATGAGTAAATCTATTTTCAAGATACCTAAGAATTATTGGTATAGTTGCAATACCCATATATATCAAATCCTTAAATTTCTGAAATTTCAGATAAACTTAAACTAAAATCTGGAGGTTTACCAATTCCATAATGTAATGAAAATGTATCATCTTGTTTGTGCAGTTCAACATTAATTGCATAATATGGAAATATTGTCGTATTTGAAATGTATAGAATATAAGTATTGTTTGGAGAACTCAATTATACATCTGACCAATTTTTTGCATTTTCCGAGATTTCAATTATGGTTTCTAATGCCAAAGTGATCTGAAATTATAGTATTTACAGAATGAACCACATTTTGTTGATTAATTAATCCTTTTTTAGGTTTTAATTAAAAATATATTCTAAATGTAAGGATGTGTATTCGTTAAGAATTTAAGATATGGCTTTTCTGAACAATTATTATTATATCAAGTCTTTGTAATAATAATTACTTACATTATTATTAATTTAAGCAAAAGTATTATATAAAATAATTCAAAATTGACATGAATGGTAACTAGTTTAAAAATCCTGAAATAGAAATTATAGCTGCTGATGAAAAGTAATCTCTACAAACATAATAATAACATATATCAATCTGTTTCTGTATTCTGCTCATCATAATATATTCGGTTTTATTAGGAATTGAGCAAAGATAATTACCATTAATGATTTGCAGCATATCTTATAACACCATAATAACTATGATAATATTTATCAACACATCTAAAATTAATAAAAAATGGTACCTTACAATGATCATATTCAGTAAATTGATTAGTTTAGTTGTTTTATTGTTCTTAGATTAAGAACATCTAATTATTATTGCAATATTAATAGATAGTATAAATCATGAATCCTAACCTATGAGGGATGTGGAATAGACAATTATCAAACTTAGTTCACTTATCGTTGTATGTATTAATGGAAATCTTATATTCATTATGGTTATGATTTCCATTTTGTTGTTGTAATTAGTAAAAGATTTGCATTACAAAAAGTCATAAATGAAAAAATAATTAAATGCTACTAACATAACACCAAATCAGAATATTTCATAATATTCACAAATAGAAAAATAAAATGATGAGATATGGAAAAATAGAATGCAAACAATTCCAATTATTGTTATCATCATATCTATGCAAAATTGGTAAATTGTTCATAAAAACTAGTTCTTTTATGATTTCTTCTCCTTATATAATAAAACAGAAAAAGAATTAGAAAATTTGGTAATGTATCATTTAAGTTTTCATGTTTCCAGTAATAATCTTGAAGAATAAGATGTTTCATCCATTAATTAATTTATCAATTAAATAAGAAGACCTCATACTATGACGTTTAATAATAATTTTAATTTAAGAAATTAAGAAACACTTCAAGATATACCTGTAGGATATTAATCCTTGAATGAAATAGTATTGAATTTTAAAAGTAAAATCCAATCTTCTTTCCTTAACATTCATCATTCTGTTTATTATGAAATTTCATGTAGATAACAATTAGAAGATGGATCATATCTATAATTATTTGGATAAATTGTATAAAATGAAAAAGACAATGAACTTTTGATTTTTTTGAATGATGTTTCAGGTTAAAATGAAATGTAATAAAATATACAACTTAACGATTTCAAATCTAAAGTAAAAAATTATTAAATATGTAGATCCTTTAATCATTTTCTCATGAACTAAGAACTCCCCTAAATAGTGCTTTGAATTTTTTATCCTCCTCTTTATAAGAATAAAAGGTACCTCTACATGTAAAAGATAATTTAATAGAACCAGCCATAAACTCTTTAAAAATATAACAATATCTAATAAATGACATTATTGACTTTTCATCTTTTTATTAAGATCGCATCAAAATAAAACTAAGAGAATTTACTATATCTGAACTCATAACTGAAATTAGTTCGATGTTTTATTATCAATTCAATACTAAATAATTAGCTTTTCATGTTGATTTAAAAGAAAATTAGTTAGGTTCTTTTTGTACTGATTATAAAAAACTACTTTAAATTTTAGTTAATCTTATATAAAACTCCTTGAAATATTCTTTTAAAGGAGGTTGTGTTCTCAAACTTATATCATTACCTAATCAGAATATATAATTTGAAATTGTAGATTAAGGAATAGGCATTCAATAAAATTTATTATTAAAATTATAAGATATTAGAAAGAATGTCAATAAAAATAAAGAATTTGTGAAGGATTGGCATGGTATAGGTTTATTAATTTCTTCTATAATTTTATAATATCTTGCTCCTCCCGATATGACCTTTTTCGATATTAAGTCAGAAGGGGAAAACAAAGGAACATTAATTTCCTTTTGTATAAAAAACTTTTTTCGAGTTCCTGCATCTTAATAGAATATCAAAAATAGTACATAAAATTGTATGAATATTGGAAGTGCATCAAGTTAATTCAAATAATTGTCAGGTTCTTAATAATTACAAGTTAATAGTTCTCTTTTTAATGTTATGGGTACTGTAGTTAAAGCCACAGAATTTCATATCACAAGTACTTAAATAAAAACTTAATTTGCTTAATATCCTTCAAAAAAATCTTAGAATGATTCTTTTTATTCTGAAAGTTATGATGACTATTTAGAAAAGAGATTAGAAGATTTAGAAAGTTTAAATCCCTTTTTGATAACAGATATCAATAATGTTTATAACAAACTAAAAGATAAATCCTCTAAGGTAATCAATTTAAAATAAATTAAACAATTAGAAGAAAAAGAAAGTGAACTTTTTATTACTGGATTAAATAGTTTAAAAAAATGTAATTGTATGAGGATTTTAAGTGTCGATGATGAAATTTTTAATTAAAAATCCTTATAAATCTTGATTTCCAAAATGGGATTTGAAGTTGTGTTAGCATTCAATGGTTAATAAGCAATTTAAGTAGTGTTAGGTTTATAAAAATGTTGTTCATCTTGTAATTTACTATCATTAATTCTAATGGATTATCAGATGCCAATTATGAATGGAATAGAAGCAACAAAATAATTGATAAGTATGATGA